ATATATATATAAGATCCTTGACTCATATACTGAGAGAAAGTGTCACAAAATCATGCCACTGATTGAACGTTTGCGCGATAAACAAAAAATAAATATGATAAAACTATATAGGATGCATACGACCACGAGACATATCGTTGACTAACAAATCAGCCGACAGAGGGCCAAATGTACAGTTTGTAGGTATATGAAGGCGATTAAGCGGTGTTATTTGTAACTATACATTACAATTTGGCAATTGAACGTACACGTACATATAAAATACAAGTAAAATATTATTTTTTAAATTGGATTGATATTATTATACAGTAAAGTCATTTTGTGATAGCTAAACCACTTTAATTTTGAATCGTAAATTTTTACCTATAGCAGGTAATAGGAGTGCGCATGCGCGACTATATATGCGTAATTTAATATAACAAAGTACGTACGTCGTTTCAGATCCATTGTATGATGTTTATGTTATATTTAATACTGTGAAAGTTTTATATTTTTACCTATTGGTGAATATATGTGTTTCTGCATGAGAAGGCGATAGAACTACTTGATTAACACCCGATGATGCTTCCGTGTCCTGAGATTCAAATTTGTACATCTCAGGTTGAGACAATGTTTCTGTCTCGGCGGGGGTACGCATGATTACCTATTGTCTTGTATTCCAATCCTACAACAGAATTTATCATTTGATAAATGATACAAATACAACTTGAATATAAATTTTTCCACAATTTTAAGAAAAAATTTTCGGATGATTACTGTATGCATATTATTTATATATTGTCAAAAAATAATATTACTTTAATAATATTAAAAAAAAAAAAAAAAAAAAAAAAAAAAAAAAAAAAAAAAAAAAGAAGACTGTTCTTCCCAACAAAAACTTAGTACGGAAAGCAAAATGAAATATTTAATTCAAATTTGAATACAAGTTGCCTTTTATTTAATGAATTACAAACAATTGAATTATAATATCATTTGAAACAGTAAATCTATTGTTTATGAATTGTCGCCTTATAGACGAAGATTAGATACGATGTTAATAGTACGTTTCTACAACTGACATTGTAAAATAAAGCAAAATGAAAGCTTTTTATTTATCGCTCAACGTTTTAATGTATACTTCGTAAATTGAGCATCGGTATAGATGTATCGTTACATCTAATTTGTCTAATAGCATGAAGTGACGTTCAATGGTCGGAGATTTACTGTTTTATACGTATTGTTTCGTTTTTTTTATTGTAAAACTTTTATAACTTTGTTACGAAGATATTACAATAGGGATATAGAACAAGTGGATTAATTAAAAATCCATTTGGTTTCACCAAAACTTCTATCAGGCACCGATTTAAGCAGTACGGCACCCTTTCGCGAAGAAAAAAAGGATACAGAGTTTTACATAGTGAGTCATTCGTAGGCGTGTCTTAGGGATTAATCCCCAACACCTGTGCTGAAGTCTAGGTAAGTTCTAATATATTGGGAACAACCCCCAAACCTAAATCTGCTGACAATGAGAAGATATATTCCAAATATATATTTTAAAATCAATTAAATTATTATTTTACTTTCAAAATTGAGTGTAAAATTTTTTTGTCGCTATAAGATACATTTCTGATGCTGTAACTTTCATATAATAGAATGAGATGCTGAAAATTTTGCCAGATCGATGTTCCAAAAGAATGAACATATTGCATCCCTTGTTTCTTGAACAGACTGTATTCTCGTGAATACAATTGGGGAAGAACGAATTGTAATGACTAGGAATGCTTGTTGTGTATCCTGATTTGTGGCTTTGCTGATCAGGGTGCCATAATATCAGCGTGTAAGTAAATGTTACACTTAATGTTATCATACATATATGTGTACTACAAAACAAGTTAGAACGTATGTAAGTAATTGACTAATATTAAAGTGGTAAATCTAATAAAACTAATAGAATATATTATGTCAGCTTCAACCCTTTACATTTTCGTTACACATACATGTGTGCGTGACTTCGTTACATTGAGAAGTTCTATCTAAAAATACTTTTCAATATTGAGATTGCAAAACGACTTAAATATGGTAAAAAACAGAAATTAATAATATTATATAAAAAAGTGAAATTATCATTGTACTCATTGATTTATACAAATGCATCGCTGTATTAGTTTGATGAACATGACTCCTTGGTAGGAGATGCGTTAAGGATTTGAAGTAGAAAAAAATTGTTTTGAATTTGTTATCTTGCGAATGCAATCTGCGCGATAAAAACGACAATATGAAGAAATATTCATAAAATGCTTTAATTATTATTAGAATAAATTACGATTTTTTTTTAATATTTTGATTACGTAAAAAATGAGTAATTGCTATACGGCTTAGACCTGTTTTAAATGTATCAAATAGCCTTTATCCATTATTTATACATTACATCATTTTTAACAATAAAATTTGATTAAATATGTTAAATATTTGATTAGAGTAACACGTACAGTTTTGCTGCACATCCTAGCGTTGAAATCACCCGATAAATTGAGTGATCGCGATGCTGTCTATAGTATCAGTGATTGGTACAGTGATTGCTTGTGAGTCTAATTAAGTAATATTTTGATTATATTTTCAAAATATTAATTTCAGTATTTCTTACTTGAACACGAATGAAATGAAATTCAATATAAACTATCTGTTCAAATATACAGGTGCAATGTAATAAAGAAATATGCAAGAAAAACTTATTGCTTTCTTATCTAAAATTATTTTATATTTTGAGAATATTATAATTTTGAAAGGAATTTCGATATTATACACGCAATACACACATGTACTTTTTGTATCTACGAATTAAGTAAAAAGAATAATGTCAAAGATCTAATAATTTATTTTCAACAAATTTCTTATCTTTCTTACAGAAGATAAATTATTAAATCTTTGATATTGTCCCTTTTAACACATAAATATAACTCATAAATGCAAAATGTGTATTGCATGTATAATGTTAATTAAAGAAAGAAAATTATATTTTCAAAATATAAATTACAAATGGTTTTTGTTTTATATACCAGTACTCAATATTTCAATATTTTACTGGTCTTACAGAAAATCAGATTTTATTAATATGTAATTTTTTATTAATATGATGATACAATTGTGATTTTTTTATTTCAATATGCAGGAATTAATTTCAATATTCAGGAAACCTATTTCTGATCCAAGCATCGTTTCTTATTCGTTGTTTTTAAAGGCATTTTCATTCATACGAAAGTAATGGATGAGTTAAAAAGGAGATAATAAGAGTACACTTCAAAGTGCCGACAGCTTGAGCCAAGTGACGCTTCGATGTTTGAAAGAGACGCATGAAACGTGCACCACTGCAACGAACAGAATGAGATTTGTGCTCCATGCAGAACGATCGGGAAGGTGAGCTTTCACTTTCCTCGAGCGGCTTGCACAAGCGACCATGGTCAGGGCGTATGACATTTGGTACGAAAAACTCGTCGAAACATAAAGCGCCGAATATTCAAGTAGCAAGAGTACGAAAAAGTTACGCATATTTGCAAACGAAGAAAGAGAAGGAGAAAGAGTATGGAGAAGACGCTTTATCGATTAAGCTCCGGCAACCCCTTTTCTCTTACCTGTATAAACGGTATCTGCCGACAAAATGACGGCAATAGTGCCAATCCCCTACGAAGTATCCATATAATTGTATCTGGCGCCATACATTTGCAAAGTCTTTGCAACTGCTAAGTCTGACACTGTAAGCATGAGAGTTTCCGACTCTCTCAAAAAACGTATCTTCGTATTGCACGTCACAATAATCATGCAAAAATATATATATGTGCCTTCACTATTTAAACAGTTACACTATTACATCCATTCGGAATTGCAGCAAGCTGAAAAAGCCGCGGATTTATTCTCCACTGACGGTCATGAAAACAACCCCACAACATCCAGACGCACGACGCGTCCAGCGGATACTAAACAAAATGGCGCGTACCATCGTCCATGGCTTCGACACCAGAGTGCGCCTATTTTCTATGTGAGTGTGTAAGGACGACGGCTCTTTGTATTTAGCAGAGGTGAACAAAGTACCGAACAGGTTCGTCTATTCAAACTAAGCCTCTTGGTATTCGAGTCGCGCATACGAATACTACTACGTTCTGTGCGCGCAGGTTTACAGAGACGCATATGTATATGCTTTTTAACAGAAATTCTGTTGAGTATATTCTAAATTAATATGTTTTAATACTTTGTTTGTTTCAATGTGTGACTCTTTTTGTTAAATATGATTTAATAAGGTACAATGTAGTTATCAATATGTTATTTATTAGAAATATCTTTACAAGTAATGATGTGTTTATAACAGAAGAGATGCGTCCCTGCATATGTTAGATGGCGCCACTATTCTGTATGCTTATTCCTTCAACCCCGCACTATGAAAAATCGCCAACCTAATGCTTTGGAATACTATTTTCCTGATTTTATGAAAGAAGAATAAATCTTATAAATTTTGTGTTGATTATATAGATCTCGAGATATATGAAATTAATTCATAACCAGAAGAAAATTAATTCTTCACAGCAATGTACACTATTGTCAGATTTAGAAGATTAGTAATGGAATATATTTAATCTTGAAGTTGTAGTCAGGATATGTGGGACATGTAGGGGCAGCAAATAAGTTTCTGACAATCGTAGTAGCTCTACCTGTAACACTTGACTGACACTAAAGAACGGTGTAGTAGTGCATCTGTCATTGTTTATGTAGTATTCTTTAACACTTTCCTTTTTTTCTATCTTAACGCATCTAAAACTGAAATCTTGAAATATCTTAAGTAGTTGTAGCAGAACTTTATTTAAAAATTTCAAAATATCTTATATTGAAAAATCATAAAAAATATTTGAATATGTTTACATTCTATAATACATAATTATATTTACATATATAAAATAGTCTGAAAGAATTAAATTATTTAATATATTAGTTAACAAATTTTCGTTTAATATATTTAAATATTTATAATTTCATTTTAAAAATTATATTGTATAATTTTATATCCAACAAAGATGTATGATAACGTACTCAACTTCGACTTTTCCTGGATGAATAAAAGAAGGGAAAAAGATGACCGCATTTCTTGGAAGTATTTTCGTTATTTCTTGGAAATGGTCAGAAATGGTTTCGTTCTGTGTTGCTGGATTCGGTTGCCCCTTCGCACAGGCGTAGAATAAACCTTCCTACTACTCACATCATAAGAGGGATGTAGTAGAGAGATAATTATTTCTTATTTTATCCTATTCTCTCCAAATAGAAACCATTTTCAATTTATTACTATTTGTCTTTTCTATCTTCATTTATTTCTTATTTTGTCTTCCTTATCGTTGCATCTTTCGATAATATATGTATATACATAATACTGAAAGTTGGTCGATTTTCTTGTGACGTCATAATTACCCTTTTATACGTGTTCTTAACTCTAAGTATGCAATATTTGAATTCTTAGCTTGTTTTTGTGATACAAATAAAAATTTATATACATGAAATGTTACAAAAAGCTTATAATTGTCTTTTTATTTATTATATTACAATTGTGCAACATAATTTTAATTTATTGCTTTGCATGAGGAACCAATTCTTTGTAGTTTTTCACAACATTTTCAAGGATTGCAAATGCTTGTAGAAAATCATCTTCTTCTAAGCCAAATTGTTTGTATAGATGTAAAAATGCAGAATGAACATAAGACTTCCAAGCTTTATTTAACAACATGTCTAAAGAATAAGAAATTTGGGAATTATTCGTTATTAAAGCAAGAAATTTATCACGATTTAAAAATTTTCGGTTTTGATGTAAATGAGTAAACCAATCAGTCATATTCCAGTTTGCATATAAATCTTTTTCTTTAAATATATTTGTCATTATAGGATCTTGCTCTGGTATTAGTCCACGTGTTATTAAAAAATTTGATACTGAACAAGCATACATATAGTGCGCTGTGTTGCGTAATGACATAGATGGCATTTTTAGTTCAACATTAGTCAACTGTAAATTTAAGTTTGATATTCTAAGTGTTTGCTTTAAATGATGTATATATGAATTCCAATTACATATAGGCTCATAGTTTGCAGATGTTGCAGATATATGTGGGCTACTTTTGATTGTTACTATTTTATATGAAGGATGACATGCTATCTGAGATAGTAATGAATTTATATTATGGTTTATATGATCTACTGGTTGGAACACAGCTAGTAATTTTTCTGAAATAACTTTATTCATATCTTGTAAACTTGTAGGTGATTTCTTTAATGAATTGGTGCATATATTATATATTTGTTCATTTTCAATTAAAATATTAATATCACTTTCGTTGTAAAGTTTTGCTAAAGTTAGTAATGTATTATAATTTTGTGTACATACTTCACCAAATGAAAATGGTAATATTGTTGTATTAACTATAGATCTTTTACCATATTCTTTACGCAATAGTTTTGTAATATAACTTCCAATGCCAGATCCTGTTCCTCCTGCAGAACTTAATAATAAGAGAAATCCATCGAAGTAATCTAATTTTTCTACTTCTTGTCTTACACAATTTAATATCACATCGCTTAATTCATATCCTTTTATCAAATAACCAAATGCCCAATTATTTGCACAACCTCCTTCAGCTTGACAAATTACATTCCTTGTTGAATATGTCCATGAAGTATTTTTGTCGTTATAAATTTTATTTATTACTTTTTGTTCTGTATCTACAAGAACTGTTCTTGCTAGACGTTCATTATTTTTAGAAATACCACTAAACCATTTATTGAATGTTTCTTCTGAATACTGATAATTGGTGTTATACGATACACCCGTATTTGTACATTCCAAATCAGATAATATTTCAGAGAATAATGTATGTCCTAGCTGATTTCCACATTGTCCAAATTGTATAGTAAGCATTATTGAAATATATTTATTCAATTCACTTAATTAGTTTATTATGTTGCTCAAACACAAAAATATGTTTTCTTTGTTTTGTTTGATTAACATGCATTTGATGTGCGAAGAAATAGATATAATTTGATTGAAATCATTTATATTTAAAAATATAAATTGTTATATAGAAAAACAGATAAATATTTATATATTTGTCAAAAAAGAATAATTCTTTTTAAACACAACCACACAATGTATTTTGAAATTTCATTGAAAAAAAAACAAATTTAAGTTTAATCATTGACTAACTTGGACAGACTGAACATTTAATGCTTTTTAGTTTCCCATGTTTAGGGATCACCTGTTCCCTATACCATTTTCGTGTCACATTCTACTATATCGATTTAGGTAGGTTCCGCACCGCAGCATTATTAATAATTAATGGAATTAAAATGAGAAAATCTGAATAATGTTGTTAAATTTGTACTGAAAATTATTTATTGAATTGAACATGAATGCTTACTTACTTGCATAATTATTCTTAAGAGAACACCTTAATTTTTAACTACAATATAATTATTTTTTAAATAAATTAATATTATATGTTACAAACTTATAAATACATCGATCAAACTTTAGGAATTTTTATCAGTAATATTTCTGAATATTTTAATTGTTTAAACATTATCTAATATTTCTAATCATTTATTTGTAACAATTAAGCAATAAATTCTCTTCTATAACATTTTTAAATACTATTTAAAATCATTTATAGCGATCGAGTTACTAATAGATTTCTATGAAATTTTAATTAACTGTTATTAATCATGTTATTAATGATCGAAAAGTCAGATCAATTTCGATCGATACGAAGACAAAAGAGCCAGTTCCAAATATATAAAATAGTACTGATTTATGATACACTATAACGAGAGATTTCTATATTTTTGCTATGATATTTTTATATATTTTAATAGTTAATAATTTTAGTTAATTATTTATGTATAACAATTGAATCAGTAATTTAATTATTTTATATTTTCAAACATTATTTCATAGTTCCAATAATTCATTAATGACAATTAAATCATTTTTTGTATTTTTAACGATTATTCGATAATTATTTAGCTTGTTTGTAACAATTAAACAAATTTAATTTCTTCTACACTTCTCGTCTGTTCTTGTATTTTATTTACTATTAGTATAGTTCTTCAATTATTGTTGCTTAAGTGTAGAATACGCTAAAAAACTGATATTGATATTTTTCCTGGTATGTCAGACCCTAAGACACGAAATCCCATTTAATGTCAGGTCTATCTTATTCTTAGTCAATGACATTGTATTCAATGTCTAATCATGCATCTTATCTGTGGTTGAATTATAGCAGAATTTCTACATTATCAACTAAAGCTAACATCTAGTAGTTTACTAAGTTACTGCGAGATGATGCAATCAACATGTGATAAGTTTATTAAAAATAGACTATGAATTATCTATTATGATATCTTCGTAAATATTGTGTTACATTGAAGCGTATTTAAAATTTTTTAAAAATATAATATATTCAAAGATATCTGTGTATACAATATAAATAAATCAAAAATTTCCATTATGTATCACTTAACAGAAATTTATTAATTTCTTTTTAAATTTTGTTTATACATATTAGATTTTCATTCATAATAAAGAAAAAGGAAGGATAAAATTATTAACTTCTATCGCATGATGTATAAGCAGTATATAAACAATTTTATAGAATAAATTACATTATAGATAAAGTATACGCCTGTGATATGTGTTATATATGAGAATAAATATATCGAATTATAATCACATATATATATATATACATTTAGAAATTAATAATGTTATTCAATATTATTTAAGTTTCACTCTATACAAAGCTTACTTACTAACTATAATGTATTATTTTTAAGGAGGTATATAATTAATGATTCTTGCATATTAATTACTTTTATTAGAAATGTAGTTTATTTCAGTTTAAAAACAATTTTGTTTTTTTTAATGATAGTATATGATTATCGCAAATATTTCAGGAATATATGATCGAAATTTCCTTTTATAAAGAAAAATCAATGATGATTATTCTACTTATATAAAATAATAGTATAAAATAATTAAATCTTTTTAATGATAGATGTGATGAATAGTTCGATCAATAATATTTTATTATTAATATTAATATTTTAATATTAATTAAGATTTGTAATTTTTAATTTAAAACCAACAATCGAAAAGGTAAAAATATCTTTAGCGGACAGTAGATTCACGTTATGTAAATTTAATTCTTGTTATGCATTTAAAATTTTTTTCTTCATTATTAAATATCATGAAGTAATAGCGAAATTATATATATTTGAAATCAAATATTTTGAATAACATGAAAAGTTTAAGTATTATTAGATAATAATAAAGTTTTAGCATTAAGTAAATAAGACGAGATTTAAATATCAAATAAGAAATATAAACTTACGCGTTAATTTATAAAATAATAAAAAATTGTTATACAACTTTGATTTCAAGTATCGTTATTATGCAAACAAAATATAAAATAAAAAAATACAATTGAATTAATTGATTGCCACTAGAAAAAAATTGTTATGTGCAATTACTATTATAACGACTTACAATTTGATGATGATATATGCGAACTACATATGTACATACTAGAATTTCTAGTTGCACACGATGAAATACAGACGAAGAGTGGGATTGTCGACAATTTTGTGCCTCGTTCTACACACTGTCGGCAGTTTGTCATGACGATTAATCACAGATAGATAATAACGCTGGAACTTATTTCATCAATTCATTTTATTTTCATTGATTGTGACCTCTTATAGTGAAATGTTGTGGAACGGTAAAAGTGTTGATTAATTCATGCTAACAATAAAAGCATCTTTTTAAATCTTTCTTTAGCTCATTTTAATTTATGACATATTGAAGACTTCCTTCTTTAATCGTGTGTATCAGCCGCGTCCTTCGTGAAACTCGTTGTACGTCACAAAGCTATGACGTGAGTTGTGAAACGATGTGAAACGAAGAGACAAGATGTTAATATTTCCCGTATCGTTTACAAATTCCTGTGATGCGTCGTGGCACATTTAGTATTTTCTTTTCATGACATACTTCTTACGGGGAACGTGAAGACACATAGGAACGCATTTATTCGTGTTATAATTCCAATTCCAATTGTGATTTGTAATTCCAATTCCAATTCCAAACGCGTGGCATTACCAGTCTGATTCTACTGTAGAATAATTGTGAAATTAGCATTTATGTTACAAATGTTTTCATGACTATAAATTTTACGTATCGCGTGTATATATGGTGTAGTGGGTGGTATACATAAAGAATTTGGTAATCGTGAGATTTCTGAGGAGTTTACCCATTCATCCGTATATTTCTTTCAAACAGAATTGAAGGAAACTCAGTTATACAGACGCCATGTTATAAGCTGGTAATCGGTAATCAGAGACGCGGACAAAGTGACTGCGGTCGACAGAAACGATGATTTGTGCGAGGTAATTCCTTTATGAGATTTATTTGATATATATTGGAAATTAAAATTGGAGCTCATTGGGAATCATTTTTATCATCTTCTATATCTTAAATCTTCTATCTATATCTTCTCTTGTTATAATTTTCTTTGTAGGTATTTTTCTTTTTCCGATATTTTCCAATTTTTTGGTTTGTTGTATTCAGACTGCATATATTTTATAGTATATATTGATCTTCGCCCTTAGTGCGATTAACGCCATGCGCCATATATATAACGATAAGCCATTTAATTAGTAAACAATTGTCAAATTCGAGCAACAGAATTAAGACAATAATATAATTAGTTCATTTTGTTATTAAATTTATTACATAAAGAAAATAATATATGTGTGTACATTCTATAAGTGATTGACGATAGTGTTTTTTTGAAATTTCGCAAAAATAAAATTTAATCTCATAGACTATATATATTATAAAAGATTCCGTAAAAAAATTATTATTTATAAAAATATTTATAACGTCCAATCATTTATAAAATACATGTAATGTTTGTCAATTGATATATCTAGTAATTAGAATATATATATTTAATTGTATGCATTATAATATTAAATCATATTTCAATGTAAATTTATCAGAAAATACATATATTATTATTAAATTTTATTTTATATCACTAATCTTTATTTCATTTAATCATTACTACTTCATTTCTAAATTCAAATTCGTCATTAATCAAACTTCATCAGTTAGGCATTCCTCATTCATATGGTACTATCTTATTGAAGATTCATCATTAAAAAAATTATTTCATTTACATACGTAAATTATCATCACTCATAATGTACGTACAAATTTTAGGAGCGTGTTAAACAGATATTTTCTTTCTGCAGTCCATGGGTATGGTGACATTGGTGCAGGAGCATGAACAAACAACAAACGAAAATCAATATCTAAAAAATCGGAATCAAATAAACAACGCCTCTATTGAAGATCGTGATAACAAGTACTGTCGTGAGATAGTGCATTCTTCTGTTGATACTGCGATCAGCGTTGCTGAAAATGGCAGCCTTGCCGGTTCCTCTACGCAGTGCAGTAACATAGAAGATGACAGTGAGGACGATGAAACGGATATTGATGAAGGAGATTGGGTACCAGATTTATCTGTACCAACGGTGTTTCAACACCAAGAAATAATTACCACGGATGGCAATGTGGTGCTTCCAAATGCAGATGTCCCGAATTTTGGTGATGTGCGCGTAAAAAATTCAACTAACGTGCATCTTGGTAATAAGACCTTTTATAAAGGTCCAGTAACAATAAAGCAGTTTGTTTACACGAATCCGACCTCGATACAGGAATCTGATACGGTGCAGAGCGATAATGTTCAAACATCGAATGCAAATACGTTTGATTTGTCAACTGTTAAAGGAAATTCGTCTAAGAACAACTCGATCTTATCACAACGTCCTAATCTCAACGGTAATTTTTTTAGTGTATGTATCTTCAGTAGGTATTGTTTATTTAGGTTTCTGTAGATATTCTTCTGAAAATTCAAACTATCGTAATGGATATAGAATCCATTAGGAATCCGTTAGATTTGAATTAAGTTTGATATTGAAATTAAAAGGAATCCGTTAGATATTGAAATTAAAAGGAAAGTTAGTCTATGTAATTTTCCTTGTTTTTTAGGATGAATTGATTTTGAATACACTGATACTGTAATTATTTTCGTATCCCGAAAACTATTTACATATACATAGTTAATTATTTTAAATAATTTTATTTTAGATACAACTAAATAGAATTAAAGGTATTACTTATATTGTGTTTTAATCTATGCTAATAATAAGTATTTTTTAAATATGTCATCTACAAATTTTGATTTTTGATTTAACTTACAAAGAGTAGACTTTTTTTAATATATAAATAAAATTTTCTCTATCATAAATGCATAGAGTTTGTCATCAATAATTTGCTGTCCAATCTTGACGTTGCGCAGTTACTAAATAAAAATGATAAAAACAGCAGGAAATAATGATATTTTAAAATCTGTGTGACGAATTGTGTTGATAAAATATATTAGTTCCAAGAATTAGCGGGGATAAGTTTGACGATTTTGGAGGCGGCACTTTCCTGTGCTCATTGTCAGTTTCAAACTAGTTGCAGTTGAGTTTTGATAATTTAGTGTTCCTTTCATTATTAATAAAATGATTAAGAAACCAAACGTTTGTGTCTGCTTTTATGCCAGAGTAAATGGTATGTGCTTACAATAGATGTAATCTATTAATTAGTGTATATAATCTATACATATATTAAAGTTTTCAATTTATTAATTTTTAAAATATTTTTATTCTGGCATAGATTGGCGGAACAGTGAATGCAGTGAAATTAATATAATATCTTATTATAGAACAAAAAATGCTGGTGATAGATGTAAGAAATTTTTAAAAAGGAATTAATATAAAAAATTAGTTGTATATAAATATATCCAAAATAATATTAGTAATAACTTCTTTTTTCTATAATATCTTTATGTTATTTTAGTAATAAAACGGTTATGGACTTGGCAATGTGCAGCGTTTTTATGTATGTTAACTCTAGTTCTTTTGGTAACAGTTGGTGTCATTACCAATGTATACCTTATACGCAATTCTACTATTCCATCAACTCCAATTTTTCCGCAAATTCCAGATTCTGGATTCGGAGGTAATATTCATAACTTGAATCAATTTATATATTAACAATAACCGGAAACGTCTGTAATTGAATTGTTGTTTGGAATTAATTCATTTATCAAATTGCAGATAAAATAAAAAATGTTCGTTTCATTGAAAGAAATGAATGGGGTGCTCAACCACCTGCAACAGGTTTAATAAAGATGAATCTTCCAGTACCGTATGTGATTATTAGTCATACGGTAACTGAATTTTGTGAAACACAATCAGAATGTACATTCTTTGTTCGAAATATGCAAACATATCACATAGAATCTAGAAAGTGGTCAGATATTAGTTATAATTTTCTCGTTGGTGGCGATGGATACGTATATGTTGGTCGCAGTTGGGATTACATGGGTGCTCATGCTTTTGGATTCAATAACAGAAGCATAGGTATTTCTTTTATCGGGACATTCAACACCGTAGTGCCACCTAAAAGTCAACTATATGCTGCACAACGAATTATCGAACTGGGCGTAGAAAATGGTAAAATTGCACCGGATTACAAATTATTAGGACATCGACAAGTCTCTCGGACTTTAAGTCCAGGCAGTGCACTATACAGTGTTATTCAAACTTGGCCTCATTGGTCATCAACACCATAAAATATATTTTTCTTTATATAATATACAAGGATATCTCGAATTTATTAGTTTATGCTTACTGTTTGAAATTCAAATGGATATTTGTATAACTTTGCATTCATGTCTTGTAATAATTTAGTATGTAATTTTACTAATAAAATTTGATAAAATTTAAACTGTGACATTTTATACAATTTTATTATAAATCTGCATATATTTAAATTATCTAATATGATGCTAAATAAAGTATGAAAGTATGAGTCATTCTCTAAATTGGAAAAACATTTAATATCTAATTTCATATTTTCTACTATAAATATATGTATATTTTTTTATGTAAATCTTTTGTAAGTGTATTAAAGAAAATAATGTATATACTGTGAAAATAAAGAATTACATTAAAAAATACGATAGAAATGATAATATCAAATTTCTTATTTTTTTTATACTTATTATATATCAAGATTGTTAAATGTTTATACAAACTTTTTGGAGGGATTTATTTTACAATTCATTATTACATTAAATAAATAATACGAGATTGGTTATATCGCAAAAATTAAGATAGCAATTGAATTTTGACTTTCCGTTGTCAGAGGGCGTTGTAATCTCTGTATCATAAATCGTTAAGTCTTATTTACAATTTTGACATGACTTGCGGAACGCAGAAAGGACGCAAATGTTTAAAAAATGATCGATTATGGAACACATACTGCTTAAGGTAGCTGTTACTAACAGTATCCTTAAAGGAAGTAAATGTATAGAGCTCTCAGGGATTGAACATTTTTATACATGTTTATAATTTTTCAATTTATATACCAATATGATGTCGTTAAAAAAGCGAATCGTGTACGATTTTATAGTTTCGAAGATAGCCATTTTGGCGGGTGACGTGTTTGCATGCCGAGTATTGACAGCCATAACATAAATGACCGACGTTGCATGTAATATGGCGATAATTGCTTTTCCGATGTACAAAAAGCAAAGGATATGGTAATTTGTGATTTAATTAGAGAAGGATTGATACAATTTTTCGCAATGGTGAGAAATAACGATGAATTTGTATATTGGCGAATAGTAAACAGAAGAAAGGCCACGTATAATTTTCAGTTGCGCTAGGGGTGGGGGGGGGCAATGCACCATGGGAACAGTTTGCGACTGGCGCATGCGCAGATCAGTTTACAGTTGGAGCTTCAAAGAAAATGGCGTCAGCTAAGTTTCTGGAGGAAGCTCTGAGCACGGATGTCGATGAATCTGCAGTGAACGCGATAGTGGGATCTCTTGAAACACAATTAGTGACATCGACGCCGGCTGTCTCTGGGCATCAAGTAAGTTCTGCATCAGTTAGCCAACAGAATCATCAGGTGAACAGTGGTATTTCCAACGGGGGCACCATTACCGCGGTTCAACCACAGAAACATGGGGTTTCAAACGGCGGCGGTGCTACTACAGTAAATAGTCTGATGAATCAAGAAGTTACGAAGTCCATTACCACGAGTACTCTCCTCCCTGTAAACGTGGTTACCTCAAACACAGTGGCGCCACAGGTTACTGCACAACAGCAGCAACAGCATACACAGTCAGCAGTTTCCCCTGCTGCTTATATCAATCAAGTTACAACAAACCAGGTGACCAGCAACCAAACAACAAATATTCCAAGCCTTACTAAAACACATGAACCTGTTAAAATAATTTATCCGACTGTTGGTCAAGTAATAGCAACCACAGGGGTAGTTAATGCAAATAATAAACTATCTTTTCCTGCACAAACTGTCGGACAACTAGCCAATGGCACTTTGGGAATAACATCTCAAGCAGTGTTACAGACAACATCAAATGTCGTTTCTAATGTTGGTTCTGTCAGTGAAACAGGCAGTCAAACAGTTGCTAGTGTAAATAAGCCAACAGGTACAGCTTTGGTGATAAAGACTAGTGTAGCACCCAGTGGCATGGTTTCTGTTCCAATGTCTGTTCCTGTTTCTGTGGCTGGCAATGCAGTCAGCACAGCACTACAGGGTAAAGCTGGTGTTACATCTACGATAGTACCCAGCAATGTGCAAATTCTTAATGTTAATGCAATGCGTCCTGGCACACCTGTGACAGGACAACAAGCAGGGAAACAGGTTGCACCTAGGGTAGTCATTGGTCAACACATGCTTGGGACAAGACCTGGAGCTCCAGGGGTAAGATATCCATAGTTCATAAATAAACGTGTAAAGGTCATTTGATTAATTTATGTAGTAAAATTATGTATATTGATTTTATTGTCTTTTTTTAAAAAGTAATATATAATCTATTCAAATATGTATATTTTTTGTAAATTTTGTTTTTGTTGTTAAAATTTTATTTAAAAAATTTTTAGATAACATTACAAACGTTGCATGGTCTTCAACCTGGAACTCAGGGTCATATACTATTAAAAACAGAAAGTGGACAGTATCAATTACTAAGAGTAGGGCCACCTCCAACAGCAGGTACTCCTGCTGGTACTGCAGTTACACCAAATAGTATAGCGGGAAATGCAGTGGTTGCTGCACCATCTCCAGGCACTACCTATCGTTTAGCCTCAGTCCCGGCTGTAAGTAGGCTGAATACACAGTTCACTGGTCCACCACTCGCCACCTTAAGAAAATCTGTTCAGGTGACGCATTCTTATACCTCTTACAAGACTCGATGTAGTGCAGTAGTAAATTTATAGTTTGTGCCATTAGTTGGAATGGTGTTATTGGCTATGTATTATGTTTATATTCTTTTATTCTTTTCTTTATTTCAGTCATATAAAATTTTTTTAAAAATATGACTAATTGTACAAATATCCTATTGACATGTAAGAAAAAAAGTTTTATATTTATATATTATTGATTTAAGGATTTATTAAAACTTCCACTTGTTATAAGATTAAGAAGTTTTATGTAGTATACAGAGAGTTTTGTGTTTTTATTGGCTTATTTGTTGGGATGCCTTTTTTTGTAGAATTCTTACATTTTTAAAATATATAATTGTTTTGTTAAATTCAATGCTGTTATCATGTGTATACATTGCATGTTATATTGGTTAAGGGTATTTTTATTTTTGGACTTTTGAAGAAAAGATAAATGAATTTATGTATTTATTATAATTTAAAATAATAATACTTTTTTCATATACAAAATAAAAAGGATTTATTTTTATCAAAATGGAATTTGTATGTACAAAATTTTAAAAATTATTGTCAACTATATATGAATATTTTCATGTTCAGTTTTATTTATATTCAATGTAATTTATAAGCTATTATTGTGACAAATAAATGTAAATATAACGTGTACTAATTTTCTACTAAGTATGTATATAAAAAATTATATTTTAGTAAATTGGTTTGATAAAATTAGTTTTTGATAAAATATTTTTTTAAAAACATGTAAAATATTCATAAAATAATACACATAAAATAAGTATGAAAGATAAGATCAAGTATTTGTATACAACTAAAAGTTAGTATTATATTACTATATTATATTAAAAGAAATTACGAGTCTGTACAAGGTACAAGTGCGTCTTTAATATACAATGCAATTTTAATTAATATTGTATCGTTTAATATCTATTGATGTATTCATCAATGTTTGATTCCTTGAAATAATGAAAATAGTTGATAAAACAGGGATAAAAATGTAGATTGTTTAAAGAATTTGAAATTGAGCATGCGAATAGAAAAGATATATGTAGATTATAATTGTAGAAATAAGAAAAGGAAACTGTGTTGCTATGAACATTTCTACAAACTTAAAGATGAAAGCATGGTTTATATACAATATTATTATTTGTAATATTGCTATGCATATTTTATTTTTTACAATGTTGCAAACTGCTTTTACTTTTAAATAATATTGCAATTTTATAATTCATATAAAATTTTAAAGAAGTTATATATTTATAAATATTATTTAAGAAAAAGTAAATAAAATATTTATTAATTTTTTAAATGTAGAATTAAATGAGATTTTTAGAATTTTAAATGTAGAGCATTTCATAATATTTGTTTATTTGTACAGACTGTTGCTGCAACTATAACAACAGCAACTACTACTCCAGCAACGGTGACTGCTCCTGCCTCAAGTACGCCTACTCCACCTGTAACTACTGTTCAAACAGTTCAGACACCCACACCAGTATGTATTATATGCAATTAACAAAATTAGAAAGAGTATATTAGTTGTTAAATGTAGCCAATGATTTTATTTCAAGTTGATTACATCATATCTTTTAATTTTAGCGTCAAACTACAGATAATACCAAAGAAAAGTGCCGTAAATTTTTAGCGAACTTGTTAGAGTTATCTAGTCGAGAACCTAAAGCAGTCGAACGAAATGTTCGAACTTTAATACAAGAATTAATTGATACTAAAGTTGAACCTGAAGAGTTCTGTGATAGACTTGAAAGATTATTGAATGCATCACCTCAACCATGCCTGATTGGATTTCTCAAGAAAAGTTTACCACTTTTACGGCAATCCCTTGTAACGAAAGAATTGGTCATAGAGGGGATAAAAGCTCCTCCAGTCAACGTTGTTTTTCCTGTATCATCTGCTACTTCTGTAGTAACGCAGGTACATACTAGTACACCGTACTTATATAAATTTATAGATAACTACATATAATGCGCATAGATTGTAAATATATAGTTCATTGTAATATTCATATATGATCGTGTGCTTATGATGTCATCATTTGTGGTATTTGAGTATACTCATAAATAAAATAGTTTTTAATTTAAAATAGAAAAAAAGAGACTAAAATTTTACATATTTTTCATAAATAGCTCAATTGAAATGTAAAAAATACTAAATTTAGATATAGATCAAATTTATAAATTAATATAGAACTTAAAAATAGTTTTCTAATATATCTATCAGTAAGTTAATATTTTATTATGCATTGATTATTATATTATTAAAGCATTAATGATTTTTACTACTGCTAAAAATAGTTAATACTATATTTATATTATTTATGTTATATTAAATTATAATTTGATTATATTGCTTAGTATTAATGTATTTTATAATATAATGTAACAGAATCAACTCAGACCAACTGTTGCTGTGACAGCTGCAACAGTTCCTGTAACTGCAGTTACTGCAACTACACAAGTAAGAGTAATGACTCCACTACCTGCAGCTACAACCACAATTCCACGACCTGCTCAGCCAGTTCAACAGAGGCTGGTAAGATATAAGAAGTTCAATTTTATTGCATTTATTAGATATATTTGAATTGTAAATATATTATGCTGTATTATATATAAGCTGTGAAATTTAATTTCCATAATAGAAACAAACTAATATTTTGACTCGTGATTTTTAGTAATCAATGTATTTTTTGCTTATGATTATTAGTTTCTATAAAACATTTTTATTTGTTATTTTTTTATAATTTATCTAAATTATCGGTCGGTCATTTTTATGTCTTTGTATTCAAAAATTGTAAATTAAACATATTTAATTGACCATTTATATGTTAAGCTTCATGAATATAAGATTATTAAATTAGATTAAGAATTGTTATTTAATTTTTTAGATACGACCTGTTACAACAGTAGTTCGTCCTACACCATATACTGTGAAATCAACAGTAGCAGTAACTGGAATTCGACCTACTGTGCCCACAATTCAAAAACCACCTATCACAACAACTGTTGTTAAAACAGTTACAACTACAACGCAAGGCAAAACAGTGAATACAACTACTACTGTTAACAAAACCATAGTGCCTTCTTCTGTTCCAAAGCCAATTACTAAAGAAAAAGAGAAAAAGACATTTTCGTCTGCAGGATACACGTAAGCTATTGTTTTACTTTGTTTATCGTATTGTTTATTAATATTTATTCATTGTATATGTATATCTTTTGTTTAAATAGGGGAGATGATGACATTAACGATGTCGCAGCAATGGGTGGTGTTAATCTTGCCGAAGAATCGCAAAGGATTCTCGGTTCCACAGAATTTGTTGGAACTCAAATCAGATCCTGTAAAGATGAAGTATTTCTTCATATGACACCATTACAGCAAAGAATTAAGCAAATTGGTAATTAATTGTTTACTACCATTTGTTGACACCATTACAGCAAAGAATTAAGCAAATTCTATTAATTGTTTACTATGTTATATAACATAGCATATAGAGACGATATTTAATTAAGATGATATTTAATTAAATATAAACTTATTTTTTAAGCTTCTAATTATGGATTAGAAGAACCTAATCAAGAAGTTGCCACGTTAATATCTCATGCTGCACAAGAAAGGTTAAAGAATTTAGTAGAAAAATTAGCAGTAATTGCAGAACACAGGGCAGATTTGATAAAGGTAAAATTCAACGATTATTACAAATTTAATCAAAATTTAATGCTATATTATAATTATTATTTATTCGACTCGAATATTTTGAAAATAAATAATATTGTAATATAATGATTACAGGTGGATCCGCGTTATGAAGTAACACAGGATGTTAGGGCACAATTAAAGTTTTTAGAAGATTTGGATAAAGTGGAACGTAGAAGACACGAAGAACAAGAAAGAGAATTACTTTTACGAGCAGCAAAAAGTCGCGCAAAAACGGAAGATCCAGAACAAGCCAAGTTAAAGGCAAAAGCTAAAGAGGTACTTTAATGAATATATAAATTTAAAAAATCTGCAAATATAACAACAAATTAGTATAACATGAAATTTCACTTGCAATTTCAGATGCAACGTGCAGAAATGGAAGAATTAAGGCAAAGAGAAGCGAACTTGACAGCTTTGAGAGCAATTGGTCCACGTAAAAGGCTTAAACTTGATACAGGAGTGTCTACCAGTAGTCCAGGCAGTAATTCCGGTTTAAATGCTTCAGTGACTGGAATTAACAGACAAATGCCAATGAAACCACGTTTAAAGAAAGTGAATTTTAGAGACTTATTATTCCTTCTTGAACAAGAAAAAGAAACGTGTAGGAGCACAATGTTGTATAAATCATACTTGAAGTGATGTTCTGTAAAGGGCAGGAACTTAAGTGACCCGCCCGATATCTGGCGCCCTATCTGCATGGTCTCGTGTGAGCTGGCCTCAATGGACCTTGACTCGTGTAACGTTAGTTTACGTTGCATTGTACAGTGTTTCATAAATTACATACAATGAAATTCATTACGGATCACATCAGGATTCCATATACATTCAAAATAAGATTATTTCTATCATGTCGATAAGCTTCCCTACTGTAAATGACTGAAGATTTTTTAAATGTAATATAATAGATTGTTCTTTATTTTTCAACACAAAATTACATTGAAAAGAGCAATGTGTATGAGCACATGCTTGATGATCAGTCTTAGATAGTCTCTTTATGGCAAGAATGTGTGGTCATATGTATTGTTATATGATGCGTGTATGTACGGTGAACGAATGAGTATACATTGTCATTTATGTACATGCCTGCTGCATTATAACACTTGACCTATACTTTTGGACACTGTAGCGCTAGTGTAAAGAGTGCAGGTTTTGTTAACATAGTAAATTGTATTTTTGCAAATTGTAATGTAATAATATACTGTGAGCACACTGTCCAAAAAGTATGGAATAATTTGTACAATACCTTACACATAAATACTAAATAGTGATAATTTCAATGTTGGTACAACAGAATATAGCTACTCTCCACCACAAGATGGAATTGTTATCAGTATATTATGTTGTAATCTACATTTTCAGTGTTTATAAAAGAATTAGCTGTTACGTTTTTTATTAAAGAAATATTTACAAAAGTAAGAATTACGGATATTTCTTCGATTGACGTTAATTTAATCATTTATATTTCCTCTTTGGAATTAGTACAGTTTTTGCTAATGTTTAGAGAAAAGTGTGCTTCACATAATCGATTGAAAAATATTCAAAGCGTGTACCTGATTTATAATGTAAAAGAATCTACTGCAGATGTACGTGGGTGCCTATTACAGAATAATTAAAAAGATATTAATCTTTCTTAACTTGCTAATCACGTGAGCGTCTTATACTACACGTGTCCGAAATAGATTTCCGTGCAACATTAAAAAAAAAAGAAAAAAAAATAAGTCATCGTATATGTCTCATACGCAGAAACATCGATACATATATATATACAAACATATATATACGTGTGTCATTTATTGCGTTTAAATTTGATTTTTAGTATAACATCAATTTAGATTTTTTATAGTAGCCTTGTAAAAACATTTCCAATCTTGAATGATTTGTGTTCATTCTTACAGATTTACATACAGAACATAGAAAAATTGAATTTTTGCCTCAAATATGTTAAATATTATACACTGATAGTGATACCAGAAGTCATCGATTTTTATAAGCTGTAATATAAATTTGATATAAGTTTGTTGAGGCAATAATAGAAGTTTTTCTATTGTACTGCCATAGTTTGGAGTTGCAGAATGATAACATGATACGAGGTATACTATTTATTTTTCTTAGCAATTCGCCTGAGATAGTTATTTCAGATTATCTAACTACAAATGAGAATTATAAAAGAAAGCAGTATCCTGGTAATCTGGATTAACTGTGAATCCTCGATTTTCGTGCTTCCATGATTTTTTGGACTGCACGATAATATTTCCTAACCGGCATTCATAAAGAAAGAATAGTGTGTATATATATATATATTATTATATATATATATTGCAAAAGCACGTACACCTGTGAGTCTTCTAGTGTAAATAATGAGAAAATGAAAAGCGACATAACGTTTCAATTACAATTACGTGAAGTAATTGCTTCAACGGTTCAATATCGATTTAAAATATAATACGCGCACAAGACTGACGAATTGTGTAAAAGAAGTTAAGTTAAATTGAACTATTAACTTTGACTATCCATAGCGCTGATTAATTATGAAATGAATCAGTACAAAAAAGAGAAGGAGAAAAAAAAAGATGAAATCATTTAAAATGTCGTAGGTGCAAGGATATATAATTGCAATATTGATCTCAGCTATATAATTCTATTTGTTATTGCGTGCACCGAGAAACGATTGCCTTTTTATATATAAATACATATAATAGCAATTGATATAAGTTTTTCATTGCGAGAGCGAGCGAGCGAGCGAGCGAGCGAGAGAGAGCTTAAAATTAAAAAAAAATAAAATAAATAAATAAAGCGGATCGTTGAAGCAAAATTATTCGAGTAATAATATGTAAATAATTCGTTTTTTAGTAGTAGCTATGTACATTTATTGGGAAAGGCGCACATACCATTACTTGTACCATACTTTTTGCCGTGCACTTCACAGTGTAAGAAATTTTTCTTAGCTGCGTGTTCCTCTGTACAATGATTGCATCATTTTTTACGAGCTCGATAAAAAAAAAAATGCAAATTTCCGAAGTTAGTTGTATTATAATGTTCTCCTTACTGCCACTAGGTGGAATTATTATTAATATAAATATATAAATAGAGGAATGTAAAGAAACAAAAAAAACAAAAAAACAAAAAAATACTAAAAGTACATAGCAGTTTTGGTACAGTATGATATTTTTACAAATTGTAATTGGATAAGTCGTAACCGAGAGATAATAAAACAAGAATAAGTTTCACCAAGGAGTAGCCTTTCTAATTATCTTTTTTTTTTGTACAAAAGAAGAAAACGATTTTTATACGGGATAAATTGAATTACGAAGAGAAATAAATTTTTGTTTTGTTATGATTCGATCGTAGGTATAATTTTCATAGAATTACAACGTTCATAATGTTGCGGGCTATCAATGTATATAAAACAACACATTTGTGATACCATTTTTACAAAGAATAAGTTAAAAAAAAGAAATACAAAGAATACGTGGCAGAAAATCGATTATGTAATACAAGAATGTTAAAAATTATTAAATTGTGCATCATTTATACTCTTATTTCAGGCAACATTCCATACAAGAATGTTACTAAAACTGCCAAATAATCAACCATTTGTTAAAATTATATAATTATTGTGATCATAATTTCAATCAGTTGTCGAAACCAAACTCCTGGACTTCATAAATCCAAGTTTAACTATCTTAATAACTTTCATTATTTAGATATACAAAATTTAATATAAAAATAATATAAAAAAAATATTAGGAAATAAGGATATTATACGTATATACAAAAGATAAACAGATAAAATGTAAGAGAACAAAAAAAAAATAGCTTAGAATAATACGAGTAGATAAAAAATAGATATCTCACGATTTTATGGAAGTGCGGTCATCGTGGTTAGCAGAGGGTTGGTATCGTGAAAAATATCCCTCATTTGGTCTTCATGCAGACAATAGTAACATTCCGTCCTGGCGTATCCTCGAATTTCAAGCTCGTCTTCCATGTTGACGCCAAAGGCTACTTCGCCTCGTGTCGTGTATTGAAGGACCTGGGACTGAGGTGGCCCCGGGGCGATCCAGAAATGGAATATAATCAAGCCGTTGCTCGACAAAGACGAGAAACGTCGGGGCGGGTGGGTAAAATGTGCAATGGGTAGCATGAAGGGAGAGAGGGAGGCTTCAGAAATGAACAATAGAGAAAGACAGAATGAACGTGAGAAGAAAAGTGGACAATCGACAGATAGAGAAAAGGGAAGGGTGGTTACGAATACAGAAGGAATCGTGGAAGGAGATGGAAAAAGTAAAGTTTTTGACGAGTGAAAAGAGAAACAAGATTATAGGAAGGAGAAAAAGGGAGGGAAAAATACAGAGTAGAGAATAGTCGAGAGGAAAAAGGGGAGAGTTGTAGAAAAAAAGAAAGGGTTGTAAAGAAAGTGACGGAAACAATAAGGTAGAATGGACGAAAAGATAAAGGGAGAAGGAAAATAGAAGTGCAGGTAGAAAGAGAGAATCAGAAACGAAGAGAAAATGTGTGTGTGTGTGTGTGTGTGTGTGTGCGTGCGTGCGTGAGTGAGAGGCGGAGGAGAGGGTCGAAGCAAAGTGTTGGGCTCTCTGCTCGGCGGATTCGAGGGATGACAGCCCGCGGCCCATACTACCTCCAGGCATCGCGGATATTGAGTTCACGGTAACCATGGAAACGGGGCCTGAGGCAATGACGTTTGTACGCTTTATCCCTTATTCCTGCGGTTACGTGATCAACGCGGTTCCGAGCTCTTTTGCTCTCTCCTGCTTCTCATCTTGTTCTTTCTCCGTGCGCTGCTTTATTTTTCTCTTTTTAGTCTAGCGCTACGAGGAATCTATTGTTAGATGGATTTATAAATCTGGTTATTACCATTGTTCTCGTCTCTGTCCCTCGCTAATTATCGAGGAAGGTTTTCTTTTAAATGCCTGGAAAGTTGTATGGTTCGCAAAAATGATACGGTTAGTCGTGTTCAAAACGAACATTAACACGAGCCGGTGGTGCAGTAATTTTTTACTGCTGCCTTCGTTTTTTTGTTCTTTTTTTTTTGTTGCTCGAAGCGTTCAAATCAGCATTGGATCGATTGAAAGTCATCGGAGCGAAAGGTCAGCCCGTGGGAGGCACAAGTTGCAAGCAATCAGATGAAAAAGTTGAAAGCAAATATCGCTTAATCAGTTTAGATGCTATCAAATTTTTATACTGGAATGTTACGAAAACTCCATTGTCGGACTAATGGTTTTGTTTCAAATGGATATTGTTCAAATGGTTGCTCTGTCAGATTTTACTTTTTCTCTCGGGACTTTATCGAACTCGACAGACTTCGTCATTGCTGTTACGATTTTTCTCTTTCGTATAGTAACAGTGGATTGATATATTTCTCAAATAAATGACATTTAAACAATATCCAGTTTTGCTCGTAATCATTTCATTTGTCAGCTTGAAAATTTATTATCAGCATCGATTGTTAGAAGGATCTCCACTCCCGGTGAATACCCGCGGCCCCGGGAGTGAAAATCCGACATGAGGTAGGCCATCGTGGAGGTTTTAGCCGGTAAAAATCCGGCACTACCCGTCCACTCCCCCTCAGGAGTGGGCGGGTGTCTTTTGAAGATTTCCTCCACGTTAAAAAAAAAAAAAAAAAAAAAGAGACGTGACCCGGGTGACTAATAAGAAATCATTTGCAATTCGCGCGAAATAAATCACCATCATTTTCACGGTTTCAAAGTAATAAACATTTTAGTTATCGTAGCAAGTGTTTTTATCGACGATTAGAAATTAATTTCCTTCCTTCGATGCGTTAATTGGGACAGTCGGTGAAGCGGAAGTTGCAGGACCTTGGTGAAGCTTTGAATTAAAAGAAACCTTTTGTTAATTCTATTTGTTTGTTTCTTTCGCGTTTGAAGCTCGCTTCTGTCTAATTTATTTAATTAGAAATACAACTTGAGCCGAGAATGAGATCAACGCGAGTTTCGTTGTTGAATATTTCGGTATCGGCAATTTATATTTTTATATTTATATATATTTATATAAGTACATAGAATATTTATATATATATATATATATCGATATAGATACACGTTTATTCGCGGTATTTACAATAATTAGTATGGCATTTAAATACATATAGGTACACCTTATTAAATAAAAGCAAAGTAAGAAGCGGCGCACCCGACGTACTTATATGCATAAGTGGGTCACGAGCGTGCGTGTTGATACCGTTCGACGACACAAAACCGCGAAGATTATATTTCTCAGCCTGATTTTCATAAAGAATTAAAACGATTTTAACGGTTATTCTTGTAATCGCGAATTGTAGGTCGCACCGGCAGGTAATTTCGTAACGTTATGCGCAGTCGAACATCTGTAACGTAAAGACGCGTAACTCAAGGCACTCGATTCGTCAAACGTTCAGTATTATCGGATCAAATTTAACAGGAATTAATTTTGACTTTATTACAAATTTCGAAGAATACATTTTCCTCGTGAAACAAAATTATCTAGCGATTTCATTAATTCGCAGCAAAATATGCGATCAATCGAAGGTGCAATCATTCATTTCTGTAACTGTAGTTGAAAATTTGGATAAAAATTTAAATTTTTCTATTTCAGCAATAAATCATTTAATGCTGAGATCAAATTATTTTCAATATCAATCATTTTTAAACAACAAATATACCGCACAGCAGTGATCTATTAATAAAAAAATCTCATGAAACGCGATGTATCTCACAATTTAAGAATTGCAAGAAGAAATGAAATTTTATGGCTATACAGCTTGTTTAACTTTTAGAATCAATAACCCATTGAGGACTAAACAACAATTCGTCGTAATATTAGAAATACTTCGTCGGTTTTAAATTCTATAAAATTGCAAAATTGGACTTTTAATTCCTTTTCATAACCATAATATTAAAACACTTAGAATTCGACAAATTGAAAAGATCGCAAATGAGATATTGCATTATCACTGTTGGCCCTTGGTGGATTAAAAGATATTAAAAAAATCAATGATCCAAAGAGCATCGGATACCGGCTATGTCATGAGAAAAAGCAAACTGTCCCATCATCAACCAGCCATCGTATTCTCTTGAACAAAGAATCAACCTACAGTTATAATATCTTATCTCCACGCGACAACACGCGCACGACGGTGCTCCGTCCGCCAAAACAATCGGATCGTCATCGTTCGTGATGCAGTCTTGAAGTTGTTCTCCTGGACAATTTTACTCGGGATCATGGTCACGTTGTATGCAACGGATCGTCCTCGAGCTAGTCTTCCGCTGATGAGCGGTGTTCCGTCAAGTGTTGATGGCCTGTCGAACGAATAGATACTCCGAGAATTGTTGTCCTTCCACGCCGCCTCCATTGCTGGCTACCACGCGGAATCCTGCGTTCAGGAGCCTGGTGATCGCCTGTACGGAGTTCAGCTTGCAGTAGCCGTTTAACGGGAATCTGATAACGTGACGAGTGTCCTGTTGGTGCCATGCAACGCCAGATCGAGCATCAATCACCGCTTGGGTTGTTTCCGGAAACACTTCGTCCAACAATGCTCGACCACCGGACAGCATAACCCGTTCACCTAGATCTGGACTGACGTGAAGAGCGACGCACTCGTAGTTACAATTCCCTTCGTTGGCGCGGATTTTGTCAGAGTCACGGTTGCACGGCATCGTTGTACATCCTGTGCCGCGGTTCCCTAGTTGATTAGTTGGCGGAGGGCTCGGGGACGAGGAACACATCGTCATCGTTGTCGTGGAACCGTTTTTTATGCGCTCTTTTTTCATTTGCTCCAGCTGCCTGCACATAGCTGGAAAAGAACGTAAAGATCAGTGGATGGAATAGATAGACGAGATATAATGATGCGATCCGTGTTATATGAATACGATTTACGGTGTTTACTATTCTACATAGTACGTTATTTTCTAATCTTCTTAGGATCGAAATTTTTTTGCATTGTAGACGCATTTCTCTTTTATGAATAGACTGTCAATTTTTATGTATTCATGGGAAATTTAAGGACGGAAAGCATCTTATATGTCGGAAAAATTTTTTGTTCCATTCTTTTTCATTACATTTACAAAGATAAGAAATTGTACAAAGATTCACAACCTATTTCTTAGTTATTACAACCAGACTGTGAAATTTTTGTGAAAAATTTTGTAAGTATTTTTATGAGCAAGTAAAAAGAATTGGGACCTAGATAGAGAGTTATTTTACTTACTAAATATCTATTACTATATTTATATATTATTTACATTATATTATTATTGGTTTTATTATTATTTTATTATGTGAATGAATGAATCTTTATTTCAGCCTTTTGGCCTAGAAATAGACTTCAGTACTTACATTATTCTTTACATTTTGTTTTCCCTTTTAATTCCCTTAGTTGTCAAGTGTTCTCTTATTTCTTTTCCCTTACATACTAGTATTGCATACCAGATTTTAGCCTAATCTTATATTATAAATAGACTAATTGGACTAATAGAAAATGATATATGCACAATGCCTTAACACTTAATATATTTCTCTTTGGTTCTGTATTTTCTTTACTCTAGTTGTGTCTCTATATTTGGTTTTCTGTTTCTTCTTCTCTCTTTTTCTTTTTCTATTTTTCTGAGCCAGACCACCGCTTCCGCGTCACCCTCTTCCGCTAGGATCATTTCCATGTTGAGACCGGTTTCTCCTAATTCTCTACATTGTCTCCAGTGCTCAAACGTTCCTTCCTCTTCTTCACATAGCGGACATTCTTTCTCTGCTTCCTTTGCCCAAAACTTGTTGGCATTTTCGGTAGAACCACATCTCGCTCTAGCCAATATTTTCTGCTCTCCGTTCCTTCTCCTTTCTCTTAAATATTTTGGCAAAGTTTCGGGTGTCAAGTACTTATATCTTCTATTGTATCTGGTTTCCTTGATTCGGGTCCAGTGCATTTGTTTCTCCACCTCTATTTCTCTATTTCTTAGAACTTCGCCTGCCGGTTTTCCTTCTCTCTATAGTAAGTCTACCCCTTCCTGAAGCCGCATTTTTTATGGTCCAACCTCCTTGAGATTTTCTTTATTCCCTTTCTCTGCTTTTCTTTTGTTTAAACACTCCTCGACAATGCTTTCTTCTCTATCCCTTTCTATTTTTTCATCGCTCTCCTTGCCTGCATTACTTTCATTTTTGTCCTGTTCGCTTCTGGCCCTTGCGTCCATTTTATGTACTTTTTGTGTATCCTTTCGAGGTTTCCTATCTATTTCCATCCCCAAACTTCTACACTATATACCATCACTCCTGTGTCCAGGCTGTCAAAGATTTTCATCCTCCTTATGAAGTCGTCCTTGAATATTCTCTCCCCTATTCCCCAGGTGAGCCTCATCGTCACATTCGCCTTCTTTGGGAGATGTTTTATATGCTCGTTGCTTTTCAGCACATATCCTAGGTACATAAATTCTCTAACTTCTTCAATCGACTTTCTTTTCCTTCTCTTCCTCCCTCCTTTCCTAAACACCATTATCTTTGACTCCTCGTTCAACTGCAGCTTCTTCCTGTCCAGATACTTTTCTAATCTTCTCATTATCTCCTTCATTTCTTTTTCCTCGTACGCTAGTAAGACGATGTTATCTACATAGGCTAGTGTCCAAAACTTCTTCCTGCCCACCACCACACCATCCGATTGCCCCTTTCTCATCTCCTCTTCTATGTCCGTAATTAGGAGTGTGAACAAGGTGGGACTCAGTGGGCACCTCTGCCTTACTCCCTCTTGTGTCCAAAATTCCTCCGATGTTTCGTCTTAATTTTCACCTTGCTTTTGGTTTCCATATAAATTTCCTGTGTCCTTTTGACTAGTCCTTCCGATATGCCCGCTTCTCAAAGTCTACTTCTTTCCACCCTGTCAAATACTGCCTTTAAGTCTACGAAGAACGCGAATAATTTTCCTCCTTTCCCTTCTATTGTCTTTTCTACTACATGCTGTAGTATATAAATATTGTCCACTGTTCTTCTTCTCTAAAGCTTACGTGTCCGGTAATATCATTTTCTCTTCGACTTCAGTTTTGATTCTATCGTTCAGCACCATTGCATAAATCTTCCGAATCCTTCTGTTTGACTTTTTTTCGTTCGTGCCCGATGTGCAAGCAAGGAGACGTGATGGTGATCGAACGATACCAAGAGTAATTGGGATTTCACGAGTCCCGTGTACTTTCGACGTGGTTCTCGTTTATCAAGATATTGCCCATTTTAATGCAATATAATGCGATCTTTTAGCGCTGCCGGTATTAGCGGTTAATGGCAAGAAAAATGATCTGAGGAGAGATTCTGCCACGCAGATAATATGATTTATCGCCGTTGAACCATGATCCCTCGTTCCCCTTTTCTTATTCTTACAGAAGCCAGAGGAAGTTGTCCATCCGGTTGTCCGTCAAACCGCGAAGATTTCGATACGAGATTAAGTGATACCAGTTGTCCCGCGAATTCTTTTTATATTAACGGTAAGCTTTCCATTAGCTGATTAACTGGTTAACTTGTCCTATAGTCAGATTTTTGCAGATTTCACGATTTTTGATGTTTTCTTTCAACGAGTGCATACCTTTAAATCATTAGCGCTTCTGTTCCATTCAAATTTCAATCAATTTTTTTAAAAATTACTGATATAAATATAACTGATATAGATATAACTGTCCTAAAACTCTTAGGACAAGTACTGTATTTGTTTCAAGAACTAAGTGCATTATGGTTAGGTAATGGTAAAAGTAATTACGTAATTATTTAGAAGAAAGTAGTTTCATGGAAATTAAAGTATATGAGAAGATTACGACGATCGAAGATGAGAGAATTTCTCTTACGCGCAATGTCGAAGTATCGCGCTTCTTCTAACAGCAGATCCAGATCGGCGAAGTTGTCTGGTATTAATAGACGAGAGTTTCTCATGAAATTTAGGATGTGTCTGAACATGCCACCATCCCTGTCGATGAAGTAGTGCTGCTTCAGAGAATCTAATACAATGGGGATGCTGCCGTTGAACAACTTTGCTAATCTTGACTCAGGATACCTGAAAAATACATAGATAATTCGTTAGTATCACTACTCCAATGATATTTGTAAAATCATATAAAATAGGCGATTTTTTTAATCTTAAATATAATAACCAAGCCTATAACAGTGAGATTGGAATACATACAATTGTAGTACTGACCAAATTTACAATCGTTTGTTCACTTATATCTATAAAATATAATCTTATGCTAATTTGTATTAATTATTATATTAATATAATATATTATTGTATTAATTTGTGTTAATATACTATTATATAATATACATAACATATATACAATATACTATTGTATTAATTTGTGTTAATTCGTATCAATTTTTTTTACTTGACCAGATTTCTGACTAAAATGTCTAACTAAATTTGCAACCTACATTTACCAAATTTCAATTTACAATGATACTTTAGTTTTCTCCATTCTTTAACTTGAAAGACAAACGTAAAACAGATAAATCCATCGCAGCGCACGCGAGTGGCCCAGATCTGAAAATTTGTTTGCCAAGTAACCTTGATTTCCCGAATAAATATTGTTTGCAATCTTGATACACGCCGGTTGTCTGTTATTTTATTCATTCTTAAATCTCGTCGATCGACCGACTCGATAAATCTTGCAGCAGTTTTACAGAGGGGGGTACGCTGCCATCCGTGCTTCAGCGACATATAAATTACACTCGCATTGAAGAGGTCTCGTCGAGACGAGGCAGGTGCCGATATTCCGGTCACCTGCCAAAATCGCTCCGAGTTACGTCGGTAGCGTTGCGATCCAGGTAGCCGCAGCTGTTTCGGGCCAAAAATTCGTCTTAACCGAGTCATCTCCCTTGATTCGCTTTGATTGACGATCATCGACACAACCGGACCGCTGATTAACGTCACCTCGTAAATGAGCATTTTGTCATACCATCGAATATGCTGCTAACTAAAAGGTATCTTTGCGTTCGGTTATTATTTTACTGAATTAATTTGAAAACCTAATGGGAATTTTTTCGCAGAATAGTTCGTTGGTTACGTGAGCGAAAAATAGTTAAATAAGGAAACCATCGGCGAAACTGGTATCGTTCTCTGGTATATTCGAGAGCAACGGCCTGTATACTTTTATTGCACGTATTGTCAAACATTATGTCTCCTAAGAATTATGCGAAACAAAGAAATCTCGATCTCGATTAAGATGGCATACAACGCACATTTATTATTGATACGGTGGAGAAGCTATACGCCATTTTCAAATGATATATAACACGAGTCATTCAGATAAATGAATTCAATCGACAATTTTACTCATTAAGAATCAAGCAAATTTTCTTCAAATAAATAGACTTTGTATAGACGAAGAATATTCTTACTGTATTTATAGAGTATGCAAAAAGAACAAAACACATTGGTTCTTCGCGTTCGATCTTGAATAATTTATCAAATATACTTGAAAATAGAATGTTTAATAGATATAATCCATATAAAATTTTAAAATTGCTCATCTGCAACTGATTTGCCTGCGGTTTTTATTTATAATGTATACTTATGAGTTATTTAAAATATTATCTAACAATAAAATCTTATGTGTACGAGTTGAAGCATTATAATTCTTTCCCTACTTTCTAAGAAATTTTCTCTTGAACTATTCATTATTTAAAAAAACGTCCAAGTACAAATTACATTGCTTCAAAGAGAGAAAATATGTTTTTAACTTTTACTAATTATATAACTTGTGTATTTATATACTATTGTATACATTATACATATATGTTAACCTTCTGTAATATTGCGTAACTTGAAAGTTACAAATTCATATATCCACAGATTGAAAATTTTATTTTGTACATCGCTTCTTGCTTCACTATCGTATTTCATAAATGTCAAATCATTTATTTATAATAATTATTAACCCCAGATTTTTAATTGGAATAAATAACTTTCTCTCTTGTAAGTAAATGAAATTTTAGATATGAAAAGTTAACTGTACTTCAAAATTAGTTATATATAATAATTACTTTATATAATCTTTGCTTTACGTACAAATACAATCGAAATATGAAATATGAAATTGTTATTAAAAAAAAAACAAGCGTTATAATGCTAATTAACCTCACAACAACTTTCATAATTATGAACATAAAACATACAAATTGCCTATTATATCATTGCTGCAAGATACACATTTTTACACGCAAATGTAATGAACATATGTACACGAACATACATTGAAAATGTCACTAAGCACTTTCTAAAGTTGAGCCGGAAATGGTGACACGATCGAACCATCAATCGTATCCGCAATCGTCGATACACATTGACGCGATTCTGGCATCACGCCTCTAGATCAGAATTCTATTTCCTTAATCTCTCTCTTTCTCTCTCTTCTCTGCTCACGATTTTATTCATTCTCTTTTGTTTTTTGTTTTAGCGAACCGTTGCGCATTCAGCCACGTTTTACTCCCGATTCCCGCCGCGTCCGACCTTTCTCCATCCCGGCCGATCCAGAAGGCATTCGTTCCAGCAGCTTTCACGAAAATGATAGCGGTCGCCGCGTCTGCTCTCCTCCGGCATAGTAGCCAGCAATAAAGAGATGAAACTCGAAGCCGGCGATGCCGATAATCGATGCGGTTGCCACAGGATTAAGCGATCGAAATCGCGCGCGGTAATAAGCAACAACCCCGAAATATTTTAATAGTCAGCGGGCAATTTCGATCGTATCTCTGCTCTTTATTTTGTGATCGCGTTGATCGCGGTTATTCCAGTAAACTTTATCGATCGTTGACGATTTCTTTTAACCACTTCTCGCCGATATCGGATATTTCTTTTAACAATCAAATAAAATGCCGTATGCAAACGTTGGCGCAGTATCGTAGCTGTTGGCTGTTTAAGCGATATTCGGGTCAAAATTTATGAGACGAACCGAAGATCGCGATTTTGAACGTGTGCTGAAACTTTGCGTTAAAGAATTAAGGACTTTATTCTTAATACATGTCTTTAATATTACATCGCTTTTTATATATTTTATTATGTTTTTTTTTACATGTGTTTTTTAGTTCAGAGAATCTTTGAACGTTAGGTGTTGGTTGACGAAGTCTCATAATAATAGAAAATATGCGAAACTAGAAAAGCATCAGTCTTAATTACAAAAACTCCACTGCGACATTACTTTTCATAACGGTATTACTGTAACATAGATCTTTCTTTCACCGGATCCCTCAGTTTCTTAACTTTTCGTCGCACTAATCGACCAAATGACAAAAACCTCTCTCCCCTTACTATTACTCTCTTCGAAGAGAATCTGGTCAATTTTGCATAACCCATACGATCCTCGACTTTCCCAACTTTCGAATCAGTTTCAACCCCATGCGCGCGATCGTGTCATCCGGTATCGGAGAGAGGCGCACCGATGTGCTTTTCAATAGCCAGCCGGCACGTTCTGCGTGCGCGCGGCCGAAGGTCGTCGTAATTTAGCATATAATTGACGAGTGCCCTGGAAAAAGGACGAGAGAGGAGGAAGAAGAGTGCGCTAAAGACGAAGGTCGCCGGCAGAGAATCAGCGCGTGGAGCGAGATAGTGAAAAGAGAGGAGAATGGGGAGAGAAAGAAAGACAGGGGAGAGGAGAGAAGATGAAGATAGAGATGGAAAGAGAACAAGAGCCAGAGAGCTTGGTTCTTCGTGTACTTCGATGGTGCGTTATGGCACAACGAGGGGGAAATACCGACGTAGGTATCCGGTGCCCCCTCAGGCCGGTTCCCATACCTTCCATGGCGATAACATATAATAACGACGGGCTGGTGGATCGCCCGTGGGCGATCCGACTTCAACAGGGAAGAGAGAGAAAGAGAAGATACCGCGGGGTAGATACGACGTTGCACGTGTGTACGGGCCGGGAGACGATCCACCGTCTCTTTTGCTCTCGCCCAACGTGTTTCGACGGTGCCGCGAAACTCGAGACCGAAGGATGAGATGGTCGCTCGCCCGAGAAAATGAAAATTCTGTGAATCCTGTGTTGGGAATTCTCCGTTTCAGGAGAAAAAGGAAAAATAAGAAAGGGAACATTATCGAATATTAGTTGCTCGCTGCTGCGCAATGAGTTTCGAGGTGAACGTCTTTCGTTCATCGGCGATAGATAGAACCGAATACGGTAGGTATGCATTTCCTTGCGTTCTGACCGCCGGGTCATAATCTGGTTACAACCAGAGAGATAGAGTAGCAGAAATTCCGCTTTGGCGCGAGACAGATAGATGGATAAAATGGAACAGTGACATTCGAAACGTTCGTTTGTATCAACCTTGGAAAATGAAACGCTGCTTTTTACTTTTGTAAATTTTGACCGTGCGAGGGATTCTCAAAAAAGGAAGTTTGCTAAAATTCTTTTAAATGTGTAATTTAAGATTATAAAATTGAAGAACAATTGAATGACCTTTGCATGTCAGAAAATAAAATGATGAGTATCCTGATAGGTTTATGAAGGCTCTATTATATCATTCAAGAGTTAACTCTTTAATCGAAAATGAATTAAAAAATGTTTCTTTAGCTCTTTAAGATCTAAAGATAATTCATTATAGAATCTAAAGATTTTCTAATTTCCCAATGACTACTTAACTCATTGGCTAGACTATTTTGTTAAAGAGTTCAATACATCCCCGCTTAAAGATTTTAAAATAAGTGCTATGTTTGTAAATCAAAATTGTAAAAATTAAATAATACAAAGGATTTATAAAGTGCTGGTACATTAACGTACCAACAACTGTATTGCAAAATACGTATACAATTAAAAAACTTTATTATCTACGATAGATACTGAACATTAAAAATAAAAAGTGTCCTAAGACTTTCAAGTAGTATACGTATCATTAGAGATACGTTTCAGAAAAGCAGTTTCAAGAAATTGTGAGACAGCAGATCGCAATGCAATGTATAACGTGTCCCTCTGAATCTCAATTTGACAAATATAATGTCATCCATCTCCTTTTACCCAGTATAATTTCATATAAAGTATCTTACACAGTTTTATAGCTCATCAT